TTCTCATCTTATGATATTGTCAACCACAAAACTCTAGATTGGTGCCTCTAGTATGTTATAGGGCTCTGTGCTCTTATTCTGGAGCCAAGGGTTCTCCAGTACTTTGAAATGAGCTACCATGAAAGCAGTATCATCTTCACAAAATCATGGAATAACAAGTAGATTCTTTTTTGTTTGTTTATTTTTAAAGGTTTATTTTTATTGGAAAGACAGATTTACAGAGAGGAGGAGAGACAGAGAGAAAAGATTTTCATCTGCTGGTTCATTCCCCGAAGTAGTGACAATGGCCAAAGCTGGGTTGATCTGAAGCCAAGAGCCAGGAACTTCTTCCAGGTCTCCCACGTGGGTGCAGGGTCCCAAGGCTTTGGGCCATCCTCTACTGCTTTCCCAGGGCACAGACATGGAGCTGGATGGGAAGTGGAGCAGCTGGGACATTAAATGGCATCCATGGGATGTGAAATCCCAGCAGCTGCAAGGTGAGGATTTAGCCATCATGTTGAGCGCAGCAAGTAGATTCTTAAAAAGGAAAGAAAGCAAAATTCTTAAAGGAAGAAAAAGACATTCATTTAAAACTTCACATGGTAATTTTATGCCTGGTCTGATTGTCCTTGTCTTATGGAAGTTTTCATTATAGTAGGAACATAAGAAAAATAGTTACAAAATAAGGCAACACATGTGATGTGCCATTTGACAGAAATAGTAAGCACTATCGAAATTCTGGGAAGCAGAAGATGCTTTCAGTTGGAGTGTTTCTTCTACTTATGATCTAGTTGTCCAACTGAGACTATACCTACACATGACTCATGTGTTTCTTTTAGATGACTGCTTCAGCTGGGTGGCCACAGGAAGGCCAGCTTCTTTACTTCTTTGTTGATAGCTGTTTCCAGCTCTTCTAATCTCTGGATTGTTCCCATTACTAAGACCCTACAGCTGTCACAAAGCCTTCTCTGCTTGGTCACAGCCTGTATCTTTTTTTCTAATGGTTATCCAAAATAGGTATATATGGTGGTGTGTCTGACTTCAAGAAAGGGAAGAAATGGAAACTTCGGTGAAGAATCAGAAACCTTATTTCCTGTTTACAAAATTGCCCTGTTTGCAGCAAGATGATGGAGCAATGAAAAAGGAAAATCCACATCCCTGCATCTTCTGGAGTTTTCCTTTTTCTCATCATCATGTCTCTGCTGCCCCCACCTTTGTTTTTGAATCCTGTTCTAGGTTGGGATTGCGTGACTCTTTGCATATTTCCTTTCAGGCTGTACAGCCCCTCTTCAAGTTGGAGGAATCCCTCCATGATGACAAACTGCCAGGGCTCCACTGAGTCTTTGTGCTGCTCCCTCTGTGCCTTGCGTACTTGCTGTTCCTGATCTGAGTTGCAGAGCCTGCAAAGCCGGGGGTGTGGCTGGGGCAGGAAAAGATGGTGCCTGCAGAAGACTGCATGCATGGCAGCCAGTGTGACCCTAGCATAACCTCTGTGCTGAAACTTCCCTGCTGGCAGGCCACTCCATTTGCTGCAAGGAGGTTTTGGATTAAGAAACTGCTTAACGCAAAATCTGGTTTGATCATTTACTTACCTGTTGCACCAAGTTAAATCCTGATGTCTTCTTCATAAACTTTTAGGATCAATATGAAGATAAAAGTGCCCATGTCAAAAGGTAGCTGCAAATGAAATAACATTTACAATTCTCCAGATAATAAATGTTAGCAAGCTTTTATTGATAACTAGAAAGTTCTTGGAGTTACTTCATTTTCCTATAATTTGCCCCTCTAGAGTAACAATTTTGTTAGTAGTGTTTTGTTTTAAGTTGTGTACTTATTTTTATTTTTGAAGATGTGTTTAATTGCTTGAAAGGCAGAATTACAGAGACAGAGGGAGAGACACAGGTATCATCCATCCTCTGCTTCACTCCCCCAATGGCCACGGTGTTGGAGCTGGGCCAATCTGCAGTCGGGAGTCAGGAATTTCTGCGTCTCCCACATAGGTGCAGGGGTCTGTGCACTGGGGCCATCTTCCACTGCTTTCTCCGGCACATTAGCAGATAACTGAATTGAAAGTGAAGCAGCTTGGACTCCAGGCAGTTGCAGAGAGTATGAATGCCTGAAACATCATTGAGTGTCACGCATGAGAGACAGGGAAACAAGCACTTCTGCTGCTGCCTTCCCAGAGACATTAACAGGGAGCTGGATGAGAAGTGGAGTTGACAGTTCTGCTGGTCTGGTGATATGGAATCCCTGTATCACAAGAGGTGGCTTAACCCTATGCATACAACTAACTGTGGAGTTATATAGTGAAGTCATGGAAACAGAATTTGAATGAGTTTTAAAAGTCTATTTCAATGGTAGTATTTTGTATGTATGTTAAGAAGCTGAGCCATATAGTTAAATAACCTGGCTGTATTGTCAGCGTGAAATCAGTGACACGATTGGGAATAAGGTCTCCAGATTTCTTTGTAGTCTTGGAATAAATTGCTAAAAATTATGGCAAGACACCAAATTATACACTTGTCTACCATTTCAAGCAGAAATAATTTAATTCTACAAGGTAGAAACTGGCATTTCTATAGCTCTGCAGTTACAGGTCTTTTAAAAGGAATACCATCTCCTTCTCTGCCTGCCCTCTGGTGGAAATGTAACTTAGTTAACACCATGTATAAAAATCCTGTAAGAAGCAGGTGATAAGAGACCAGATGGCTCTTAAATGAGTGACTTCTTGATCACCAAGAATTTCTGATTCAGAAAATCCACTTGTTGATTTGAATCCCCTTACGAAGACATAAGATTTTTATACTAGTTGTCAATCAAATGTTTTCATTTATTCAGCAGTGTCCAACACAGAAGAAGATGTTAATAGTTGATTTCCTTCTGTGTACCATACTGCTAGGGACAGAGTAGTGAGCACTATTTTAGTGGAGTAAACACGTATTCAGGGAATAATCATACAGATAACTGATTAAATGGTATACATAAAAAGTACAGTGATTTCCGGTCACATACCAATATTTGGAAAGGCTTCCTTTAGGAATCAGAGTGTTAGCCAGGATATGGATTTGTGATAAAATAGCAAAAGTGAGACAGAAGGATAGCAAATGAGGATCTCATTTGAAGAAACAGCACAAGTGAACTCTGCAGAAGGAGAGCATGTCATCTATCTGAAGTGTCAGAGACAGCCAGAGTGTTTGAAGCAGAGAAAGCCAATTTAAAATGCCAGCTGTGGTCATGAGAAATGAGGATATTTGTATGACATCATCAAGGAAACCAGACAGCAAAAAGGAAAAGTGAACCTCCCACAAAGTCAATTGTGTTTACTGTTTTAAAGATTCGCCGTGAAGGAAGTTACTGCAGAACCACCAGCATTTTTCATTTGTTATAGTATTACTAGGATTTAGGCGGTTGAAATATGTATGCTTTTTCATTTGCATTTTTTGCCTTTACTGTCTTGCTGCCAATGGAGGGTGTGTTTTGAGATCCTGAAGTGTTTAGATTAGGGGCTAGTCATTGTTGAAGTCAGAGGAATGGCAGAGAGAATCTCATCCTGTTTTCTTGGCTAAGGTTTCTGTGTGGGTTTGTGAGGTGCAGCTGCGCTGTGGCTTGCTTGGCAGCCGAGCCGGGGCCCTTCTAAGTGCAGTTCATTTGCAATGGGGGGAATCTCAGAAGGGCTGCTGCGAAGGCTTTAAATGCAGTGGAAGCAGCCAGGGGGGCTGTGCCTTTGCCTCATGTCCATAGTTACGTGGCTGTGTGGATGCAGCAGCCACAGGCTGGTGGCTTACCTCCGCAGCAGGAGCACAACAAGGGGAGAACATGAAAAATCAGGGACAGCTTTGTCTCAGTGTAAAATTATTAATCACCACATATAGTTCTTAAGATGATTTTTAATTGTTTATGACTGACTTATGATTTTTCTTTTTTCAGATGCCATCACCTGTCCTTACTTGCCTGTTGAAATCAGCTTCTCCCTGTACTGTCCTACCTCAGTTCATGCCACCACCCTTTGTGCTTCTGCCGTTCCACCAGCTTCCAACCCGTTTGTTTTCTCAGCTCATCTTTTTGGCCTTATCCACAGAGCATGTGACCACGTGTTGCTTTCTTCTCCATTGCCAGCAGAGTCCAAGTCCACATGCATTTTTCTCAGTAATCTCTGTTGCCTGACAGGAAAGGAATGATCTGCTTTTGTCCCTGTGTCCAACCTTACCCTATACAGCCCTCTCTATATCCAAGAATGATGAGTATTTTACCCCCTTCCTTGTTAGTAAAGTGAGAAGAAACACAGAATTCAGAAAAATCACTCTCTTGTTCCCTCTTAGACTTTCTGCTTCCTTTACAGTAGCTTTTCCCTTTGACAGCTATATTTTTCTCCAAGATGCTAAGAATATGGCCCTTGACAGTTTGTTGATCTTAGTTCAGTTGTCAACTCCTCAGAGAAGCTTTCTCTTGACATCGTTCCCTTCTTTCAGAATAACCCACTACTATCTGAAATTGCCTTCCCCTTTCTTCTTTTATAAATTGTCCCATCTTGATCCCAAAGGATTTTTATGTTCTGCAAGGGCAAGTACTTTGTCTCATTTGCTGCTGTCTGCCTGGTGCTAGCCTGGTGCTTAGCATGGAACCTGGTACGCAGAAGGTTTATTAGAGTGTTGTAAGGATAGAGTGAAGAAGTATACATATGCTACGTTCTCTACAGCCAGGAAGATGACGGAGTGTTTTATTCTATACAAATGTTGTATAGAGTTTATTTTACAGTTAATCATGGCAATACTTTTTCTAATTATTTTTATCTCTCATGCTTTAGATAATATAATTTTAAGGATAATAAAATGTTTCTCATCATTTCTAACTTCTCAGAGAAGATTGTAATACCATTTTTGTACCATTGATTACATTGATTTGAAACTTCAACTTAACACTTTTATTTCCTCTGAAGTTATTATATGTACATAAGCATATGTATGTAAAAGCTCAGAAAGCAGATGTATTGAAAATGTGCCTTCTTCTTGTACCCCTTGCAGTTCATAATTGGACCCTTGAGGATACACTTCAGTGGTTGATAGAATTTGTTGAACTACCACAGTATGAGAAGAACTTTAGAGACAATAATGTCAAAGGAACAACACTTCCCAGGTGGGTCTTCATTATTCAAGAATATTTCTCTACTCATGGAGATGGATTTACTAGATGTAATTTTTCAGTGCTAAGTCTGCAGGTTACTTAGTCACTTCTGTGGTTGAAGGCACAAAGGAAATCTTATATCCATTCTAGTCTTTCAAAAGTGTGAGTTTTCTAATGTAGTTGATTTTTTTTTTGTCTAAATAATCAAGCACTTAAAAAGCTTTATTCCCCAGGAAAGTAATTTTGAGAGTTAGAACATGGATCAACTATATCCTTTTTAAATATCATCAAAGGGTCGAACTCTGACCACCTGACAGAGCTGACAAACTCTCTTTTGATGTTGGTGCATTTTCATCAAGACAAATATTTGAATAGATTGATGCACAGATCTTTATTAATGAGCATTTTTAAGCGACAGTTATAACCATGTAGTTACAGTTGCCATGACTTATACATCAATTAAAATGGAAGTTTAATAAATAAAATTAAATAGAAGCAACATTTTAGAATGTATGTTACATGAAAGTTATTTGTATTATCTCATTTAAATCTCTTGAATCAAATGTTATAGAGTATCATACCCATTTTGTAGATTAAAAATCTCCAAGTCAGAAACATGTTGAATATTTTTCCAAGACTTTATTTTACATATAAACACAAAAATAAATAAAATAAATTAAGCAAAATGGGCCAGAGCATTGAAATAGTTTTAGGGTTTTCCAATAAATATGTTGTCTTAGAGGGGAGAAACCCATAATGGTTTTTCTTATGTTGTCTTTTGGGAAATTTCTTTAATTGAACAGCAACACAAAATAAAATAGCCAGATTGAAAATGTTCTGTCAGTAAATGCCATAGCCTCTTTTTTCTTTAGAGTAAGTAAGGTTTATCAGAGAAACCTCAACTTTTCAATGCTAGAGAATTGTGGAGACAAATTTATGCACTTACCAGATTGTTTTAAAAGAATGAACAGTTGCCTATATAGAAAAGTTACAAGGGTGTGAGTTCAGTTTTCCTATCAGCCCATTGAAATCTTTTTGAGTCGAGGAGAAAACCCCAATAGAGCGTAATGATAATTGATGAGTCACTTTAAATGTTAGGGGACATTAGTTCATGTGAAAGTTTTTAAAGTGTGCATGTAATGCTACAGGTATAAACTTTCACATGCAAAGGATATCCATGAAAATCCAGGTGCACTAGAAATAGTGGGTACAGTTGGCTTCAGGCCACATGTGTAATGTATGCGTTAAATACAGATGAGACTTGATTCCCATCTCCAAGTGTGGGTCTATGTGTGTGTGTGTGTGTGCATGCACGAATGTGCAAATATTCACAAATATAAAAACATGTGGACTCTGAAACCCTTTTGATCTGCACATTTCAAATGAGAAATTGTCATTCTGTTAGTTCTGTTAATAACCAAAATTATGTATATTTATGTTATCTGTAATAGTTACTGTAGCAGAGCTCGCACTTATACACTTGACACAGGCTTCCTCATTCCTTTCAGACCCAGGTGGCCTTCCCTGGCACCTCCACACACTTGGGCTCACAGTGAATCTTGAATAAAATCCCATAACATAGTTTTATTTTTTTTACAATTCATGTCTTTTTTAAATTTGGTCTATTATGATATTGATTCATTCATATACCTATCATTGCATTCATTCAGGTATTTTCAAAACTTTCCTAATATGACTTCTGTGTGCTTTATTCAGTTTTAAAAGCACTTAAACCCTATAATACAAGGTTCTAAAGTTTTACAGATACATTAAAGAAAAGCAACATGATCTAAATTCTGGACAATTTTTAAAAATCTGCCATTGATACTAAATAACTTACATTTTTTGCCATTCTTAATGAAATGATAATAAAATGCCAGAGGTAATTAATGATTATAAAATATTCATTAATATAAATATTTTTTCCTTGAGGGAAAAAAAGCTCATCAGTACATCAGTTACATTTTTAACATACAGGAGTCTTTAAGTTCTCATTGAAAGAGTTAGGAAGCATGTAATTAAGAATTAAATCAAAATGGATGAGCTGTTACAATTATCATCACTAATATATATATTTTAATCCATATATTTAAATATTATGTACTAGAGGTATTTTTATTTAATGTGTGCATTGTTTTAAACAGGATAGCAGTGCATGAACATTCATTTATGATCTCCCAGTTGAAGATCAGCGACCGGAGCCACCGACAAAAATTACAGCTCAAGGCACTGGATGTGGTTTTGTTTGGACCTCTTACACGTTAGTATTCTCTGTTACTCAGAGTATGGTACCAAAAAGTAAATTATCCAGTGAACTCTATGTTAATTAAGGAAGATAAAAATAAGAAAGATTGTAAACTAAATGTAGTAGAGCTCTCAGAAGAATTATCTGTCAGGAGGAAAACTAATATTATCTTAAAAGATCTATGAGGTGGAAGTTTTCTGCCATTAAAACACAGAGTAAATTTTTAAAACTGGTTGTTATAACAAAGAGTTTTAAAAAATAATGATAAACTATAATTTAGAATTTCTAGATTTAAACTTTGAGTCTCTGTAGCAATCTTAAGACTAATTTTAGCTGAATGTTCACTGAAGAATCCCTTAAACAGACATTTTTTTCAAAGGCTTATTTATTTATTTGAAAGTTAGGGTGAGGGGGAGAAACCATAGCAAGAGCTTTTCCCCCACTGTCTCACTCCCCAGATGTCCGCCAAAGCCAGGAGCCAGGGAGATTCGTTTTTGCTTTCCACATTGGGAAGATGTATGAATGACAGAATTCTAAACACTTGGACCATCTTCTGCTGCTTTTCATGGGCAGGATTGGAAATGCAATAGCTGGAACACAGCTGGGTGCCCATGTGAGATGCCAGTGTTGCAGGTGGTGGCTTTACCTGCCTTACACTGCCAGCTCTGAAGTAGTAGTTCTTAATGATTTTATGAACTTAAAAAAAAAAAAAGATTGTTTAAAGGTGTAGACAAAAGCAACGATTAAGCTTTATAGAGTAGCAAGACTATCCTGGCAGGTCCCCAAAGTTGATAATGTTACTTGAATAGTGTTATGTCATCCTTTCAAAGAAAATAAACTTTTTCTAACTTTTCTTTGACAGGAAAACTTTTTTGCCCTAAAGATAAAGTATATGTTTATTTCATTTATTTTCAAATTTCATGAAGATTTGAGAGGGAGGATTATGTTTTTCAGAAGACTTAAAGGAATAGTAAAATTAATGCAAGAAAAGTTTCTTCCATAACTTATTTTTTAGGATGTATTAAGGAGTCTTTATTAATCAAGCTTAATGATAACAAGGTCCACTAGAAATTAGCAAATGACAAGTCCATATGTTCTAGTCCAATCAATCGTCTTGAAACCCCAAGAGGAACAAATGGGTCATTACCCTGAATTCCATCCATTAAACTGAAGACGTATGTCCCAGCTTCCCCAGCAATTTAAGTTATCCTAAGAGACAAGCAGTAAACAACCTGGACACACTTACAAAGCTGCAGGCATTCACCTTTCCCTGGCTTCTCTGCCAAAATTCCACTACTGCTAGGCCTCACCTCTCCTGGAACTCTTGAAAGTACACAAATTAGAAATATAAAGCATCTTAGCAATACCATCTTTACTGTTGCACCCAAGCAGTGAATAGAGGGTGAGGAATTTACATGCAGGGGCCATGCTCAGGGGCTCTCTTTCCTTGGCATCTGTCTGCGGGAAGCAGGTTCTGGGGAAGCCAAGAGCCAGAATGCCAGAGTGGTGAAAGCACTCAATCAAGAACCTTTCCTAAGTTATAAATCAGGAGATTTTGCATGACTCGCGGGGATTCACAGACTTGTAGTTTTTTGTGATGCCTTCTGAGGGTTCTGGGGATGGGTGGGGTTTGAATGGATTCCATGGCTTTGCTGGTGGCTCTTGGTTCAGGCAGTGAGCAGCTGGTCCAGCAGCTGGAACTCCCCTTTGCGAGAATTGGTGGAAATGTACTGTGGGTGGAAATTGCAAATGCAAGGAAACACAACACTAATGAAATACCAAGCATTCCTCAGCGCTGATCCTTTTTCTAGCCCTTCCCTGCCTTGAGTTCTCAGCTGACTCCGTTAGAGGTTGTCTTTTGTGATATTCTGAATTTTTTTCACTTTTGACGATTGACAAAGAAAGAAATTAAGGCCTAGAGTTTGTCTTTATATTCAATTCTATCAGAAATATTTATATTTTATTAATCTGAGAACAAATCACCTTCTAACCAAAAAAAAAAAAAATACAAATGTTATCAAGTCATTTGAAAAGAAATTGAACTGGTCTCAGAGAATGTTGTGAACAGGAACTGTTTAAATAAATCAACTAAGAAGTTAATGAGACATTACCTTAAATGTGTTTTAAAATTATTGTTTGAGTGAAGGAGCCTCATAGTCATATCCCCCCACACAAGCCCACATTCATGCAACAGGGTCGAATGAACAATGTATATTTTCCAGTTTAAGTTGCTTATTATAGAGTTGAGAACTTGTCCTATTTATTGTTATTCCTGGCCGTTCTATTTCACCTCGAGTCAGAGAACAGGGGTCATAGTTGCAGTAGAGCCTGAACCAAACTACTGTAAGATAGAAATAAAGACTGACCTTTCAGAGTCGCTAGCCTGCTGCAGTGTGTGCTCCATGCTAGGTGAGGGTGCACGCCCGGAAATGCTACACACTCCGGGTCTGGGCATGCTCTGCAAACATAAACAAACACAAGGACCTTCAGTGCGGGAATTAAGGACCTCTGTAAAGCTCTTTACTGCGTCACACCTGCAGTGTTCTTTTGCTGGAGGCCTGGCCGCTTAGTTTTTCATTATAAACTTTATTTCTTTGGAGCACTGAAATAACGCACTGTATTTTGTTGATTAACCACATTGTATTTTTCTAGAAGAGCTCCCTGAAAATTAGCACACATTGGAAGTCAGGGCTCAATATGGAGATTATATGGATAGCACTTTCTGTGTTTTGGGACAGTAGAGACCACAGGTCCTGGCTCCCTCCTCCTTACCTTATACACAGTGCAGGGGATTCACACCAGGCTTGAAACAGCAGAGGGAAGTCTTGCTTGTTAGGGCTACGTAGCGCAGGGTTTCTCAGACTTTGCATATTTTGTATTCTGGACTGGCTGATTCTTTGTTACTAGGAGTGGCAGTGGAAGAAGATTTTCTTGTGTACTGTAGGATGTGAAGCAGTATCTTGGCTTCTGTTCACAACTTCTTCCAGCCCTTTATTCCCTCACTTGACAACCAAGAATCACCCACCATTGAAGACCAGTGATTAACCTAATTAGTTATATAGCCTCATGCTTGGGGCAAATGCTTTTTTGGGTTCATGATTGGGTTTCTAGTTTGTGATTCAAAGCATGACAGGTATCCAACGGAAAAGGAGATGGGATGCTGATGGTGATGGCGTTTGCAATTCCTTTATGCCACAGTAGACCATCACTAGCAGGGATATGCATTGTTGGTGGGCCTAACAGTGTATCAGGTATAACTCGTATACTGATTTTAAAAGGGTAGAGTTTTTAGATAGCAAGGAGAGATTCAGGGTTTTTGGCTTTTAATCATCAGTTAGAATGCCTGCATGTGTTGTAAGAGTTGCCTGGGTTTCCGTTCCTCTGGCACTCATTACAGCTTCCTACTGATGTGCACCTCTGGAGGTAGCAGGTAACGTTCCCGAGTAGCCGCGTCCCTGCCCTGCATGTGAGAGACCTGGATACAATTTTTGGCTCCTGGCTTTGGTGCAGCCCAGCTCCAAATGCTCTGTTGCAGTCATCTGAGGAGTGAACCTGCAGATGAAGGATCTCTATCTGTGTGTCTGCTTTCCAACAAATACAATTTTTGAAAATAAAAATGCCATAAGAAGTACCTCTGTGTATCCATTTTATTATAATCCAAGATTAATTTAACTGTCTTCCTAGGCCCCCCTCATAACTGGATGAAGGATTTCATCCTCACAGTTTCTATAGTGATTGGTGTTGGAGGGTGCTGGTTTGCTTATACACAGAATAAGACGTCGAAAGAACATGTTGCAAAAATGATGAAAGACTTAGAGAGTCTGCAAACTGCAGAGCAAAGTCTCATGGACTTACAGGAAAGGTAAGTACTGGCATTTGCACAGGACACTACGATTTGTAAAAATGTAATATGGTCCTATACTTGCACGTATTAGGATTTTGCATGTCTTATCTCAGTTTTAGAAAAGTATCATAAAATTGTCTAACTACAGACATCTTTTAAATAGTGCTTGGGAATAAATGTATAGAAGACCAGTGTAACTAAGTCAGATATAGATGAAGTTAAAGGTGTAGTTGAATTTTACTTTTAGCTTGATTTCAATAATGATGGATTTCTTAGAAGTCTCTTAGTGTGAAGATCATTCATTACTATTGTTTCCTAGGCTTGAAAAGGCGCAAGAAGAAAACAGGAATGTGGCTGTGGAGAAGCAAAATCTGGAGCGCAAAATGATGGATGAAATCAACTATGCCAAGGAAGAGGCCTGCAGGCTGAGGGAGCTGAGGGAGGGAGCCGAGTGTGAGCTGAGTCGGCGCCAGTATGCAGAGCAGGAGCTCGAGCAGGTATGGCCAGTCTCCAGACTCCATCAGGAGACAGCTCGCCATTGGAGATACAGCATCTGTTTTTATTCAGTTCTGTTAGATATTATCCCTCCTTTTAATAAAAGAATCATGTCTTTGTATCATTAACATGCATCAAAGTCTGTTTCATAAAATAACAAAGTAGTAAAAGGTAAGGTTACCATCCTGTACACTCATGAAATCTTTCTTGATTCTATGTAATCTGTTTTGTATAACTGAGATATTTAATTTGGCATTTATAATCTGTTTGATTTTGAGTATTAGCTGGTATAATGAACTCCAAATAATTTAAAATTTTCTGAATAAGTAAATCTTTATTAAAAATCCATTTGAATCTTGCCAAATGCCTTTGAATATAATCTGCTAAATTTCTAAGATCTAAAATATACCTTTGCCAATATCTGTTTTTCCTGTTCAAATGCTTGAGATAGAATGTAGGCATTCTAGCATTTCCCAAGTGTTTTGAGAGTGATCATATTCTGGAAAAACTCAATTATAGACAGATATATTCGTTTCCTAATTTTACTGTAAAATGTTAGCATGAACGTAGTGGCTTCAGTAAACAAGGAGTTAGTGTCTTAAGGTTCTGGAGAAGGCCAGAGACTAGCATGGGTACGGAAGGCTGGGATCCTGCTGCATGCTGAATGGAAGGTCATTTACGTCCATGTCCTATCCAGGAGCCCTTACCCTGTCCTTAGAGGCTGCATTTCTCCACTCTGCTTCCAGAGTCTCCTTTCTACTTGGTCTTCAATGATAAAGAAACTCAGGGACAAAATAAGGATTAGAACAGTTGCCCAAAAACAGAGCGACTCCATTGTAAACCAGAGGCAAAAACCTAGACAGTCCACCTCCCACTTTGCTTCATGACTAGTTTCCTTCTCAGTTGTGTGTCACGGTTATATGAAGCCTGCATTTTCATTTCACCTCATGAAAAATGCAGGTACTCCGGCCGTTTCTTTCAGGATTGTCGTTTTGGGAGGGTTTGTGTGACTGAGCACAGCAATCTGTTTTGTCACTACTAACTGCTCTTTCCCTCTCCACCCAGACATCTGAGTTTTGGAGTTCTTCCCTGGAAGGAATACATTTTTGAATCCTGAACATATTTTGTGGTGGTGTTGCACATACCTGACAACCGTATCTGTACAGAACTAGGAAAGACTCTGGTTGTTGGCAAGGAAAATCTTACTGAAATCATATCATGTCCAAAAGTTATGTGTTAAGAGCTTTACTCCTGGGAGAACTCCCAGCCTGTTCCCATTCGAGCCACCTGTGTCTTAGTTTGTTCCCAGTACTGCCAACAAACTCTTGGCTGTTTTTCTAAACTTTACAGAATCAGAAAGCAACTCAGAAGGCAGCAGTGGGGAAGTCTGACTCAGAAAGAGAAGGCAGCAGTCTCCTAGGAGGTTTCATGTGGAGACCTTGCACACCACAGTAGACCCTCAGGTTACTATACCTACATAATAGAACTTGACTCAGTCAAGAAATGGCTTAGGAGCCAGCATTGTGGTATAGCACATTAAGCCTCTATCTGTGATGTTTCTTTAAAACTTCCTTCTGATGGCCTGAAAAAAAGCAGCAGAAGACCACCCAAGTGTTTGGAGCTTTGCCACCACATGGCAGACCCTGATAAAGCTACTGGCTCAGCTCTGCCCATTGTGGCCACTTGGGGAGTGAACCAGCAGATGGATGGTCACTCTCTAACGTTGATTTTCAGACAAGTAAATAAATCTTTTGCAACTATTTCAGGAGAAGTTATTAATAGGAAATAGAATTTGAGGGGGGTGGAAAAAGTTATTTTATCTGAAAGGCCAAGAGCTAGAGACACATGGATAGGCATGAGAGAGAGCTTGGATCTTCTGGTTCCCCTGTGCCCACAATAGCCAGGACTGGGATAGGCTAAAACCAAGCGTGTGCAACTCATTGCAGTTCTCCCCTATTGATAGCAGGAGCCCAACCAACCGCTTGATCACCTGCTGCCTCCGGGGGTACGTGTTGGTAGAAAGATGGAATCAGAAGTAGAGGTGAGACATGCAGCAGGTACTCTGGTGTGGGAGGCAACGTCGCAAGAGGTGTCTTATTCCCTGTGCTGATTGCCTACCTCTAAAATCCAGTTTCTCTGGAGACTGACTTTATGCCACGCGTGAATCTTATATATGTGGTCAGTGGTTTGCTGGTCATTTTTTTCATTAAATGCAATTTTATTGTCTTTAAAGAACTAGTTTACTTAACTGCTTTGTTGCATAATCCTTGCAATTCATGAATATTATTTTCATTTGCTAATGCGATTTATATAAGTTAAATAATTTGTCTTAGGCTACTTAGCTATCTTACATCACAGGCAAGATTTTTGCATTGTATCCTGAAGTTTATGTCTTCTCATACTGCTGTTAAAAGCTTTGTTTACACACCTAAGTTTAGCTGAGAAATTATTTTATGTGTAATAGTACCTAACCCATGTTTCGATAGTTAGAAGAATTACTGTATCTTGTAGGGGGATAATTATCTCCTCAAAATTAGAAGGCAGGGAAACCTGGCACAAGTTTTGTGTAGTGTTATTTTCCCCTGAAACAAAGACTTACTGGTAACTGAAAGGACAACTTTACATTTTGTGGGTTTTGTGTGATTCCAATAGTCTGAAGAGGAATTATTTTGTTCTTTAAAAACTGTGTCAGGAGCCAGAGCTAAGACAGGTTAGAGGACACGGTCGTGAGATGGTGAGAGTCGGGCAGTGGGCCCTCGCTGCAGATCGCAGGGATGAAGCTGCAGAGCTGGATCTAGACACCAGGTTTTTATTCACATCGACCAATTCTTTTCTTTGATACCATTTATTTATTTGTATAACTTCTATTTTGTTCCTAAGATACAAAGACAATGTAAGTAACAGTGTCATAGTTTTAAACAGTAGCTCAACATTTGAAAAAATATTAATTGCATGATTTTCACATTGCCTGTTTCACCATAAAACAATAATGTGATTCAAACTGAAGATTTGGTGTCAGGTTAAGTGGTTAATATGTAAGTAATAGCAGATACAACAGTTAAGAAGTTGACATGTGTAGAAGGTTAAAATTTGTACAAGTTTGAAATATTATTTAACAATCACTATAAACATTGTTGAGTCTCAACTTACGCTTATCAGTATGTATTTTGAAGTGTATTTCTTTGTAAGTTCTTTTAGGAGAAATAAATTATGCAAGTAACACTAAGAAAAATATTGAAGAGAATGATTTGATTGACATTTTTTTATGATTCTCTGTGTAATTTCTTGGAACTAGGAAATATGGCTTTAAAGTCTTGTAAAGGAAGGAAAGAGGGTGCTTGCTGGCGTCCAGTTTGGTGTTAGCGTAGAAGTGCTGGTCACAGGACCTGGCTCCAGTTTTGTCTTCCTGGGAGCTTAGTGGGGACGCCCACCCAGCTTTCCCTGCCAGCTTACTAAACACGGACACACCATGAACCCTGCCAGGCACATGTTGCTTAGGCTCCATTCTTATTAAGTGCCATCTTACCTTTACTTTTAATGCCTCTCTTTTTGAATCGTCTGTTTACTGTCCCATTGTGAGTTTGAAAAACAAATGGAGTTAAATATTTTTCTACACAGTTCTTTTTTTCTACAGTATTTGACAGCTGTTCTAGTTCTGTATCCAAAGTTTGTATATAGTCCCCTTCTTGGTTTATTCTGGCACATAATGAAGTTTATTTAAATAAATGTGGTTTGTTCAGACCAAACATTGCTGTGCACTCCAGTGCGGGTGGGGCTCAGTCACCTTAGGTAGCTTGGAGGAAAATGAGGCTGCTCGAGTGTGCCACAGCAGGCTCCACACTCAGTCTGTCCTGCTCGGGTGTGCTGTCACAGGACCATGTCCTGTCATGTGCCTCCATGCCGCCGTAGCCTGGGATCTTGCTAGTTTGTAAGTTAAGTCACTGCAAGAGGGAACCATTTCTTCCTTCTGTGTCCTTTAGTAAAGTTTTTCTTAAGATTTTTTTTCTCCCGGATCCAGTGCAATGGCTCAGTGGCTAAATCCTCACTTTGCACATGCCAGGATCTCATATGGGCACTGGTTCATGTCCTGGCTGCTCCGCTTCCCATCTATGCACCTATGTGGGAGACCTGGAAGGAGGTGAACAAGTAGATGGAAGATCGTTCTCTCTGTGTCTCCTCCTCTCTTTCTAATAAAAGTAAAATAAATCTTAAAACCAAAAAAAGAAAAAAGAAAGATATTTTTTTTCTCTCTCTCAGTTATTTCCCCTTAACACCTTGAATAGGTTTCTATTTTACCTTAAGAGGCAAGTGGAAAAAACAATACTGTGACATCCTCACACTGAAAGCTGTGAAGACAGTGCATAGTTTCTCAAGAAAAACTCCAGTGGATTCTTACTTAGAATGTGTTTTCCTGGCATTTTTGTATATTTTAAACACTCACCTGCTTTCTGGTATATTAGAAGCAGTGAATTTACAGAGGTGGCAAAGCTGATTCTAAAAGGAAGATAGAGTGACAAATAACTGATAGAGAAAAATATAATAGAAAGCTAAAGAGAACAGGCTTAATAATGTAAAAATCAGTGTATAAGGGCCAGCATTGTGGCATAGGACGTTAAGCTGCCACCTGTAACACCATCCCGTTTGAGCCCCAGCTGCTGGTCTTCTGACTGAGGTCCCCACTAATCCACCTGGAAATAGCAAGTGGTGGCTCAAGTATTTGGGTTTCTCTGCTCCCGTGGGAAGCCTGGACAGAGTTTCTGGCTCTTGGCTTCAGGCTGGCTCTGCCCTGTTCCAGTCATTTAGGGAGTGAATCAACAGATGGTTCTGTCAGTCTTTCCCTGTCTTTAACTTTGTCTTTATAATGAAATGAATGTTTAATTACGGAGCTACATTGTAGAATCACGTGGGAATGTTAGAAGAGGAAATAGAACAGCTGGTCATTGATGTTTGGATGTTTCTTCATATTCTATTCCTACTGTACTAGGAATAAGTGTCGTCCGTTTTAATTTGTATATATGTGATTTTGTTTTCTCTCAGTAACTCTAATACAAAATTTAAAAGCTAAACAAATTTGATACTTGAAGACACATAGAAATCTGCTTTATCTTCTTTGGCTTCATAACTTTACTTGGGATTTAAGACACTTTTAAAACTTGGCCTGCTGGGCTCAGTGCTGTAGCCTAGCAGCTGAAGTCCTCGCTTGAGCGCATCAAGATCCCCTATGGGCACCAGTTCATGTCCCGGCTACTCCAGTGCCCATCCAGCTCCCTGATTATGGCCTTGGAAAGTAGTCGAGGGCAGCCCAAGGCTTTGGGACCCTGCACCAGCATGGGAGTCCCGGAAGGAGCTCCTGGTTTCAGACTGGCTCAGCTCCAAGCCATTGCGGCCACCTGGAGAGTTAATCAGCAGATAGAAGATCTTTCTGTCCTTCTCCTTGTAAATCTGATTTTCCAATAAAAATAAATAAATCTTTTTTTTTAAAGATATTTTTAAATTGGAAAATCGGATACACAGAGAGGAGGAAAAGAGAGAGAGAGGAAGATCTTCCGTCCAGGGATTCTTTACCCAGGTGGCCACAATGGCCAGAGCTGAGCTGATCTGAAGCCAGGAGCCTGGAATTACTTATGGGTCTCCCACGCAGGTGCAGGGTCCCAAGAGCTTGGGCCATTCTCAACTGCTTTCCCAGGCCGCAAGCAGGGAGCTGGATGGGCACTGGAGCAGCTGGGACATGAACTGGCGCCCATGTGGGATCCTAGTGCGTGTAAGGCAAGGACTTAGCTGCTAGATCATCACACTGGGCCCCAAAATAGATAAATCTTTTTAAAAAAATTGGCCTGTTATCTTAATATTAAAAATGTATCACTCTTAGACATAGTGATTTAAAAAGATGTTTACAGAGAACATAACTAAAATTGCTTTTTTGTTTATAGCTTGGATGTTGGAAATATGTTTTAAATCCATTCTTCTTGCCTCTTCCAGGTTCGCATGGCCCTAAAAAAGGCTGAAAAAGAATTTGAGCTGAGAAGCAGCTGGTCTGTTCCAGACGCTCTTCAGAAGTGGCTGCAGTTAACACATGAGGTGGAAGTCCAGTACTACAATATTAAAAGGCAGAATGCAGAAATGCAGTTAGCTATTGCTAAGGATGAGGTAAGCAGACTGTCGATGTTACACATTGGGGTCGGCTGAATGCCAGAGGAATGGATCAGGATGCAAGTATCTGAGGAGAAGACTGACTTTGGCAGTTTCTTTTCTGAATTGACATTTATTGAATTGAAATTAACTAAAATAAAATCTAGAGAAGTGGATACCTTTCCAAATGACCCCAGTGGCACTTAAAAGTCATCATTTTTTTTTTTTTACTATCATGAATGTTTTATACGGAGCTTTTCTCCTTTAGGTTGCTGCTTCAAATGCGATTCAGGTTAGTAGCTACTTAGAAATTAATATTTGACACTTATTAAACTTTGTATAATAAGACAATCTAAATTCTAGGGAAAAAAAATACCTCATTTCACTCACTAACCCCTCCATTGTAGCAGGACTTAGTTGACCCCTCCATTTTAGAAGGACTTAGTGAATATTCTTCTGATTGAGACATTCCAGTCTTTCTAAACCATTGAGAGAAAAATTCTTCAGAACAGAGTTCTGAAATACACTGATTGTTTTCTTTTTCAGAAAATCGGGTTCTGTCTTGCCTAAGGATTCTCCACTAGGGATTAGTGATTATCATTATATTCAAAACCAAACTAAACTTTCCTGCAAACCTAGTCTTATATTTCTCCCCTTGCGTTTCTAGGCAGAAAAAATTAAAAAGAAGAGAAACTCTGTGTTTGGGACTCTCCACGTGGCGCACAGCTCCTCCCTAGATGAAGTAGACCACAAGATTCTGGAAGCAAAGTGAGTGCGCTGTTAGCTGTTCCTTTGCCATCGCGTGGAGTTAAGTCATTATGGGCCATTTACATTTAAGGCATCATTTAATCATAGATGATTATATAATCTACACTGATTCTGATGTTGAGTCATTTCTTCTTGAAATGAGTTCATTGCTATGGCCTGTTCTTGAAATTGCCTCTTGCCAGCGCCATAGTGAAGAGTCCTGATGCAACAAGTGATTCCCATTTCAATCTTTCCAGGAAAGCTCTGTCTGAGTTGACAACTTGTTTGCGAGAACGGCTTTTTCGCTGGCAACAGATTGAGAAGATCTGTGGCTTTCAGATAGCCCATAACTCGGGGCTGCCCAGCCTGACCTCTTCCCTCTATTCAGACCACAGCTGGGTCGTCATGCCCAGAGTCTCCATTCCACCCTACCCGATTGCTGGAGGAGTCGATGACTTGGACGAAGACACACCCCCAATCGTGTCGCAGTTTCCTGGTAAGTGCGGAGCGGGGCAGAGTGCAGAGCCGCAGGATTTACAGTCATTTTCAGCTGTGCCCTTTTAGAAATATGTACACTGAAATCTAGCCTCCGTTTGCTGCTTTTTGCTTTTGTTCATAGAAAGGTAAGTGCCTGCTCCCTGCGGATAACTGCTGAGGTGCGTGTGTGTGCATACACGTGTTCTTTCTCTCACACATACAAGGTATACTAAGATGGCCAAGAAGCCTGGAGCTGGGGCTGTGCCAGGCGTTGTGCTGCATCAGGCTAAGCCCTCCCTGGGGCACCTGCATCCCCTATCCCAGGGGCCGGGTTGAGTCTCATTTGCTCTGCTAATCCAGCTACCACTGAGGCACCTGGGAAGCAGCGATGATGTCCCAAATACTTGGGTTCCTGCCACCCATGTGAGAGATCAAATGGAAATCTGGTTCCTGGTCTGGCCTTGCCTATTTGGGGAGTGAATAAGCAGATGGAAAAAAAAAATTCTTTCACTCATTCACTCTCACTTTCAAATACATAAATGTTAAAACAAAAAACCTCAGCCCAAAGAGTGCAGTTTGAGAGCTCTGTCTCCATCTAGTGGCATCTGGTGGTACACCGCTCCGAAGCATGGAAACATTGCTGGGTCTGGTTGGGAAGAAACCTGTGGTGGAAGAGTAGCATGCGCAGTGTGTGAGGACCCCTTAGTTTTGTATCCTCTAGAGCAGCCGTAACTGTTTCCTTTTCCATGGATGGATATATATACATTTTCTAAGAAAACCTGCCTGTGATGTGTTAAGTGCAAATTAAAAAACAAAAACTAACAATATATACAAGGAATAATGCAGTCTATGTTTATTCGTACCCAGAGAAGGATGCAGAGAATGTCAGCACCCTGGTGAGGTAGACAATGGATGTTCCTTGTTTTCTGTTACTTTTTAAATTTATTGACTTATTTATTTTTAGTATTTGCTAGGTGCTTTTGCAGTGTAGGCACTAACCATTTATTCAAAATTTCCATTATAAAGTTGTTCAGTGGCTGACAAGACTGTCCCCCTCCTTCATTCTGAATGTTGTGCCATGGCCTGTCTTTTCCTGCAGTCAGGCGTGATAGAGGATCTGAACACACAGCTTTCCCTTGCACCCTTCTTACGTGGTGTGATCTCTGAGCGCTGTTGTACTTTGCATTTCATAGGTATACATCCATAGTGATATTTGCAAATATTGTGTAATTTAAAATTTGCATATCTATTACTAAAGTGTAGATGTCACTGTGTAACTTTTTTGCTGAAAAGTCTGTTTATGTGTAGATTCATGAGACTGTTTAGGATGAGCACAATTTATTGTAGTCAAGGACCACGGTCTGTCTGGTTTCCCGACTGTAATGGGTTCTTCCTGCTTCTCCCTTGTAGATGGCTCAGCAGAGGCCTTCGGTGTGTGCTCTGTGGATGATGGGATTCTCAGCAGGGATGGTTAGGAATGGATCGCTGGGCCATTGGAAAGGCGCTCCTTACTAGTCATTGCCAAGTTGCCCTCAGGGTCTCTGACCCGTTTTACACTCACAGTCCCTTTATGCCCGTGTGGCCTGGGGATCACAGGATAGGGTGTGGAGTGCCACCTTACTAGTTCTAAATGTCTGTTTCCTTGGTGAATGCCAAGGCCCACTACCGTTTTATCTGTTGCATTCGTTCTGATTCGGTCTGAGTTGCTTGGCCTTGTGTGGAATCCTTCCAGGTTTGCTCCCTGAGCAGGAGTCGTTCTTGATTGTTTGGTTGGTGGTTCTGCTTGGCTTTACTGACCAATTTGTGCATTTGACTTGGGTTTTCTATTTCTGTTTCACAAGTTGATAGACTGCTATTTGTTCTTCTAAAAGTTCTTGCGTTTTCCTTTAATCCTTTAGTCCTTTAATCCACCTAGAAGTTATTTTTGTTTGTAGTGTGAGGTTGAAATCTAAATATGTCTCTTGATGTATGGGTAAGACAGTTGTCCCAGCTGCATTCCTGTCGCATCCCTGCCTGCTGGTAATAACCTTCCTTCCAGAGATTCCAAAGTGGGTCCAGCTCTCTGGTTCCATAGCCCCCACATAGTTTTATAGAAATACTAATGTCCTACTTAAATTCACTTCTTTTTTTTTATTCTCATGAGTTTTATTTATGTAAATTTTATAAAATATCAGTGAAACTATTTTTGTAACGATGTACTGCTTTTATAAGTTGTGTTTTGCTGTATTAGGATTTAAAAATTTTTTTTTTTTATGATGGTTGCATAGTTGATCAGAGTGTACCTAGGGTCAGTTCTTGGCTCTCAACTCCTGACTCCAGCTTGCTGCTGGTGTGGAGCCTAGGGGACCACCCTGAGGGCTGTAGGGAGGCTGTTTCTGCTGCTCTGTGGGGGCCAGGATGGAATCCCTGGCTCCTTGCTTTGACCCACTGAAGGTCTGTGGGAGGTGGAGCAGCTGAGCAGAGCTGCTTCTCTGCCTCAAAGAAATGATAAGCAAAACAAAAGCAGAAGCCCTTCAATCTCTCTGTTCCCAATAATGACTTATTTATGTTGGCTCTTCTTCCCTGTGTTAATCTGACATTTACATTTTTTCCTTTTTTAAAGATTTATTATTATTTTTTTTTATTTGAAAGGCAGTGTTACAGAGAGGCAAAACACAGAGAGCGCCCTTCCCCTTCATCAGCTCACTCCCACATGGCCACAGTGACTGGCCGGCCAGAGCTGAGCAGATCCAAAACCAAGAGCCAGGAGCTTCCTCTCGGTTTCCCATGTGGGCTTAGGCACCCAAGGACTTGAGTCATCCTTTCACAAGGCAGGAGTGAGAGTGGGATCAGAAGTGGAGCAGCCAGGACATAAAGCGGTACCCACATGAGACACTGGGAGCTAAATGAGAAGTAGAGCAGCCTGAAAAGGAACCAGTGCCATATGGGATTGGATTCTGGCACGTACAAGGCAAGGATTAAGCCATTAGGCTACCACTCCAGGCCTGGTAGCTTGTGGGTGTTTTTTTGGTTTGTTCGGTTTCAATTTTTTTTTTTTAATTGAAAAGGTAAGATATATACAAAGCAGAGACAGAAAGATTTTCCATCTGCTGGTTCATTCCCCAAGTGGCCACAATGGCCAGAATTGAGCCAATCTGAAGCCGGGAGCCAGGATCTTCTGGGTCTCCCACATGGGTGCAGGGTCCCAAGGCTTCAGACTATCCATTGCCTTCACATGCCACAAGCAGGGAGCCAGGATATGAACTGGTGTGCATAAGGGATCTTGGCAGATGCAAGCCAAGGATTTAGCCATGAGGCTGTTGCACTGGGCCCCAGTAAATTGTTCTAAAGGGTTAAGAAAATGGTGAAGATGAAGCCTGCAGCAGTGGTTCACCCAGGTCAATTTACAAGGAAAATTTGTATTTCCTTTGTTCCCTACAAGAACACTGACAGCAAAAACAAATGCCAGCATCACAGGCCTAAACATCAGTTCAGCATATACAATCCTGGTGGAAAATTAGAGGCACCAACTTTTTGCTTGGGAGGTGCCAAAACTGCTGCATGCAGGCGAGCTGCAGACAAGAGCAAAACTTTCATTGGGAATTTCCAGATCAAGACCCTAAAGCATCGCTTGAAGAACTGGAGCAGGGTGCCTGGCACAATGGCTCAGTGGCTAAATCCTTGCCTTGCATGTGCTGGAATACCATATGGGTGCCAGTTTGTGTTCTGGCTGCTCTACTTTCCATCCAGCTCTCTTCCTGTGACCTGGGAAAGCAGTAGAAGATGGCCCAAGGCCTTGGGACCTGGCAACCCACATAGGAGACCAGAAGAGGCTAGCTTCGGGTCAGCTGCTCAGCTCCAACCTTTGTGGCCATTTAAGGAGTGAACCAGTGGATGGAAGATGTTTCTGTATCTCCTCTCTGTAAATGTGACTTTCCAATAAAACAAACAAACAGAAAAGTACCCAACTGGAGTAAGAGATGACCCCAGTTTCACCAGTTCATGCTGAAGGCACAAACTGAGGCAGTCCAGACAAAGATGGAGCTGTAACAGTGGCCAGGGCAGCAGCCGGGGGATGCTCAGGACATTTTTACTGACCAACTCTGCAGGGTCACAGGAGGGAAACATCCATCTGCTAGCACAGTCATCTGAGAAAGCCAGGAAAGCCATAGAGCCAGGCTGCAGCGGAGCCTCACCCAGGCCTTTTCCCACCGTGACGGGGCTTTAACTCATTCCTCTCAGTAGACAACTCTGCAAGAGGTGGGAAATCAGCAGGTATCTACCTCACACTGCTGGTTCCTTCTGATTTCTCTTTCCTAATCTTAGAAAAAAATTATCTTTAAAGGGAACCTATAACATAAGAAAGGGAGAAAAAAGCACTGCGTTGATACAGTTGAATTCCCAGAAACCTCTGTTTTTTAGGAATGAACTAAATGGCTGTCATTATCATTGCCATGCCTTGAACTTGATGGAGTTTCAAAAATATGCCAGCTAGGGGCCGGCACCATGGAGTAGTCGGCTCAGGTGCTCTGTGGCGCCAGTGTTGAGCTATGCATGTAAAACTGTTGCTGTATTTTATTCCTGTTCAGACAGTGTTGGAGAGTATTCACTGTGTGTTACGGGGACAGGATGGCTGACCAGGTTACCTCGCCCTTCATTGTTAGAGCAGGAAGAATATACTTACTATGTGGGTTCTGGTGAAGTAAAAAATTACCTCAGAAATAGATTTCTATATAGTGACCTTTCTGTGTCATTTGCTCTTACAAATCACTTGTGGTAATGTCTTCATTAAGGATTAATAATGACTCAAAGGTATCATGAAACATTCATATTCACATTACAACAAATGAAAGCTTATTTCAGGGCCAAAGTGCACTGCTCTTCAATCTTCTGTGAATTTTGTGACGATACCAGTGTATTTGGCTCAGTGTTCTTTTAGTATTTGTAGGAGGTAGTTGCTTTCCCTCTTTCTTTCTCTCCCTCCCTCCCTCCTTTCCTTCCTTCCTTCTTTCCTTCCTTCCTTCCTCCCTGCCTCCCTCCCTCCTTCCCTCCCTTCCTTCCTTCCACAAAGTGAGAACATTAGACATTAGATTGAAGATTTCCAATGATTCAACAAGTTTTATAACCTGTTACAACAAACCAGTGAGAGAAGGGCCTGATGTTTGCTTGCCTACTACTTATTTGGAAAAAAAAAAAAGTATCCACTATTGAGAGGGATAATAAAGATTCTAAAATACTGTCTTGGATCTTACCTTATTTTCTCCATTTCAGTCCTTCAGGTCACTTAATACTGTCTTTTTTTTTTTTTTAAGGATAGATTTATTTAGTTATTTATTTGAAAAAGTTACACAGAAACAAAAAGAGATAAAGATGTTCCATGTGCTGATTTAGTCCCCGGATGGCTGCAATGTAGAGGGCTGAGCCGAAGCCAACGCCAGGAGTTAGGACTTAAGAACGTCTTCTCTGTCTTTTCTGTGGGTGGCAGGGGCCCTAACACTTGGGGCATTTTCCCCAGCTTTTCCCAAGCCATTACCAGGGAGCTGAATCAGAAGTGCAGCAACCAGGACACGAACCCCCAGCCCTATGTGATGCTGGTTTTCCAGGCAGCAGCTTTACCTTGGAGTGCTGGCAGTTAGGGTTAGCATCAGGCATTTGGTTTACTCCGTAAATACTTATTGAATGTTTACCTTATGCCCAGCCCTGTGCTAGATGTTACAATGTAATATTGACCATGATTCATGATCGTTATCTTTGTGGAACACAGAGTCCAATCAAGGAGAGACAAGAACAATGCACTGAGATGTGTTATGTGGCAGGGAAATACATTACTAAGTGAGCATAATGGGAAACTCCTGAAACTTGAAGAGATTAGAAAAATTCTTGGAGAAGTTGTCATTTATCCAAAGACCTGCGATACCAGTCAAGAGTAAAATGGGGAAAAGGAGATATGGAGACAGGAGATATGGTCCATAGAACATTCTGAGAGAGGTGTACTTCTCTGATGGAAGAGGTTACGTCACATGGGCAGTCCATTCCGTGTTAGAGTTTAGCCTTAAGAATTTTAATCAATAGGGCCCAGTGCGGTGGCCTAGTGACTAAAATTTTTGCCTTGATTGTGCTGGGATCCCATATGAGCGCCAGTTCTAATCCTGGCAGCCCTGCTTCCCTGCCAGCTCCCTGTTTGTGGCCTGGGAAAGCAGTCGAGGACGGCCCAAAGCCTTGCGCCCTACACCCACGTGGACAACCTAGAGGAAGTTCCTGGCTCCTGGCTTCGGATCGGCGCAGCATCAGCCATTGCGGTCACTTGGGGAGTGAATCTTCAGACAAAGATCTTCCTGTCTGTTTTTCCTCCACTCTGTATATCTGACTTTGCAATAAAAATAAATCTTAAAAAAAGAATTTAATTTGCAAAATGTCAGTTTTCCCCCATTTTACATTAAATAAAAGGTGGGGGTCAGGAAAGATATTTAAGAAAGTGGCATAATGGTTTTAATCCACCAGCAGTGGTAACATAGGGAATACACAGAAAACAGGTTAGTGGTGGGTGGAAGCTAGGGAGGGGCACAGGAGTTTAGTTTGGGTTAATGGAAATTTGCCATCCCTTTATAGTGATGGTGTGTGTGTCCAACTTCCTAGACTAGTACACTAAACCTGGAGAGTCCACTGTGTGTAAGTTAGAGCTCAGTCCATCTCGCCTGAGGGGTATGAAGGAAGAGAGATCGACCAGCTGGAAGTCAGCCTGAAGGAGAGATTATTTTGTTGCTTCTATTGTTTGCTTGTTTCTTAGGCTTGTCTTTTCAGTATTTATTTTTAAATCCTGGTGGAAAGTAGATAGAAATGTAAATAAAGGTGAGTGAAGGAATTATCCTTAACTAAGACCCTTGGATTTTGGGTAAAGAATGAGATGGCAAAATGGGAGAAACAGAATGTGTGAACCAGAAGGAAAGAAGCGGCACTGGAATCTAAGTATCAGATTGGAGTTTTATAGACTGACTGATAGCAAGACAAGTGGTGCGTGTGGGTGGGAAAGCAGAGCCCAAGCTCTGAGGAGATGAAAAAGGAACTATGTGGTAGAGGAGTTGCAGAGGCCTCTCAAGCAGAGTTGCTCGCGTGGGTGGCAGTCACAGGGTGGACTGCTGGGAGAGGCCCGCGATGGAGACGCAGAACACGCCAGCTCTTGGACGGTGTGAGCTTTACAGGAACATGCGCTCTGAAGTGCAGAGGACAGCACTGGGAGTGAAGAACCCCGCAAATCCCAGGGCTGTACCACAGGAGGCGTGCAGCAGCAAGCAGCCTCGACTTGAGGGGGTGCTTCTCTGGTGAGCTCCGTTTCAGCTGGAGAAGGAAGTAGAATGCCCGTTCGGTGCAGACGCAAGGATGTGGGTGAAGCTTGTTTACCAACTGCACGGTCTGGCTGACACTGACAGCAGAAACAGGGCGACTTAAGGCTTGCTTTCGTTCCACAGTACTCATTACAGAAGAGAAAAGTTTTGGTCCTGGCTGTGCCTAGTTAGCTCTGAGACTATATGGATATTAAAACTCCTTGAAGTTCAAATAAGTTGTGCTACCTCAAGGTACACCTATTGGTAAAATTCTAGCATACTTTATATTATGGTTCTCCTGTCTGAATGCTAATTGCTAATTCTTTTTTTTTTTTTAAGACTTAACTTGTTTTTATTGGGAGGTCAGATTTACAGAGAGGAGAAAACAGAGAGGAAATCTTCCAACCACTGGTTCATTCCCCACGTGGCCGCAACGGCCAGAACTGAGTTGACCCAAAGCCAGGAGCCTGGAGCTTCTTCCAGGTCTCCCACACGGGTGCAGGGGCCCAAGGCTTTGGACCATCCTCCACTGTTTTCCCAGGCCACAAGCAGGGAGCTGGATGGGAAGTGGAACAGCCAGGATTAGATGGGATCCCAGTGCATGCAAGGAAAGGACTTTACCTACTAGGCTATCATGCCTGACCCTGAATGCTAATTCTTAGAAAAAGGTTTGCAGTGAAATACAGATCCTATGTTAGTATGCTGTACTGACTTCTAAACTTACTGAAGATTTTCACACTTCTGTAATTAGCAGTGCTAGAGTTTATATTAAAGTCTCATGTGTCTGTGTCAATCTCTTTTGGTTTTTTAGGTGTTTTCATTTTTGTTACATTTTTATTAACTTTCCTAGCATAGGTGATAGAAAATGGTGAGATGTACAGTTATTCGGTGAAGGGAGATGAAATGGTGACGCATTGGTGACATGGTCTCCCTCGCGTGTGTGGTTGGAGTCACATCACCTCCCCGGTGTGTATGTGTGGAGTCACCGCGAAGGGGACGTGGAGCTCACTGAGATCTTGTCTGTCTTTTCCAGGGACCATGACTAAATCCACTAGCTCACTGAACAGAAGAGGCAGCTTGTGTCGCTCTCGTCGCAGCATAGTGCCCAGCTCGCCGCAGACTCAGCGGGCTCAGCTTGCTCCGCAGGCGCCTGCCCCCGCTCTCCCCCGGCCTGCGCACCTTCCCCAGCACGCACAGCACTCGCTGCCCTCCCCCGACCCAGACATCCTCTCCGTGTCAAGCTGCCCTGCGCTGTACCGGAACGAGGAGGAGGAGGAGGCCATTTACTTTTCTGCTGAGAAGCAATGGTATTGGCAATGAAGGCAGTGTGGGGGGTTCCGGGAGGAAATGACCTGATGCAAGGGCTCCGGGAGGGCGGCGGGTACCCAGCTTTAGCGTTCTGTTTCTGCAGAAAAACACGTTCTCACTGGCTTCAGACAGCACCAGCCTTAGCTCTCAGTTCCCCGCGGTATAAGACCAAGCCTGGCAGGACTTGGTTTTTCTATTTTTATTTTATTTTTTTTTTGTTTCTGTTCAGGTTCCTTAGCAAGCTTAAACCAAGGTATTATCAGAACTGCGTACTCTTGTGGAATTTTGGGAACTTTCTCAAAGTTCATCTGGCTGTGGCAGAGTTCAGTTCCTTGTGGTTAGAACCCCAGAGTATTAGCATCTTTGCCCACTGTCAGCCGGAGGCTGATCTGAGTTCCTCAAGGATGCCTGATGGTCCCTGCCCTCTGACCTCCACTTGCAGAGCCAGCCACAGGGAAATTCCCTCTGCATCTACTCCTCCACATGTGGTCACCACACTCACCTGAATTAATAATCTCTCCATATAATTAACTCGTTGAAGGTCTTAATTTTATCTGCACAATCCTTTCACTGCCACACGTATGTGTGTTTGAGGATTAGGGACCCTTTTAGCATTCTGCTTAACAGATATTTCATTTGAGATCCAACTGCTTAGATGCCACAGGGCACAGCTAATTGACAGCTCTGAACATAAGCTGACCATATAAGCAATTTTATATGTAAAATACGAAAGATGAGCTTCACTGTGCTTGAGTATAAGAAAACATCAAATGCCACTTAGTTTTAACAATATTTGTTGCCATTTAATAATTTATTCTGTTAGGTGCTGGAGCTTGCCCACAAACAGTGTCACATACCAAAGATTTAAAAAAAAAAAAGTCAGCAACTTAGAGGAGGAGGAAGGTGTCGGTCATTGCCTCCGCTAGCCAGCAGAGGGCAGCCATGCTGCGTGAGCCCGGAGCTCCTGAAGCAGTGTGGTATTGAGTGACAGAAAACCTTGTGCTAGTTTCTGGTTTTACCACCCAGCAGCCATGGGACTCTAATGCCTCATGATCCCCGTGTGAGACAGAAAGCCCATGGGCTGGATTCTCTCAGTGTCCCTCAAAGCTCATCTGATTCTCTAGGTAACTATTTTCTAGCCATAACCGTCTTTCCTACTGGTCATGAAAATTGCCCAGTTGGAGATCACTGTAGCACGTTCCTAAGGAGTGAGCCTTGTGTTGTACTCCCGTTGCAGTCAGAGAAGTTGATGTACCTCTGCATGGCTAGCACTTTGTAAGGGACTCTTGGCCATATAGAGTCACCAGTGGGACAGCCGTGCCGGTTAAAACAATTTGTGTGGCCTTTGGAAGTTGTTAGGGAAACTAGTGCTGCACTCTCCAGTAAGACGTTTTTGCGTTAAAGGAAATCTTTAGCCTTCATTTCAAATAGCAGTGTCAGGAATTCATAGCTAGCTCATAAACATGGGAAAACATTCAATTCTAAAAACATTTCCCCTTCAATTTCACTTGCTCACTATTCAGTCACTGGAATCCTTACAAAATGATGATAGGATTTACTAATCTTCATGTTGTATGAACTGTGTGTAGGTGTGTATGCAGCCATTTAAACCTCCCTCTAACTAAATCTGTTCACACACATTACAAAGGACACACTCCACAAAGAGTGTTCAGTTATACAAAACCTACACTCCAAATCACATTAGTTATAAAAAAGGAATGTTTTATGTGGTTGGGAATTAGAAAGTTGGAAGTAACATCAAAGATGCATGAAGTTCTCTTGCTTTGGCAGATAGGAAAGTTAAGGCCTAGCAAAATGAACTAGTTTGTTAAATGGTTATGCCACTGGTTAATGTCAGGACCAGGACTGGAGTCCAGGCCTATATCTTTATGTGCTTTGTTCATATTTAGAGACTGTTTTTTTTTTAATAAGTATTTCTGACCTAATTTAGAATTCCACAAACAAGTCACAAAAGAAAGTAAATTCACAAAATCATAATCAGATCAGCTTTGGGTTTTTTTCTTGAGTGAATCCGTTTCTTCATATCTGAACTGCCTTTTACCTTCTGATAGCACACTGGCCATTATCAGATTTTCAAAGCATCTGAAAAATTACACACATACATGCAGGCATTATGTATTTGCTCAGGGGATTCTGTGCCTTCTGGAAGCTTAGTGTGCAGGAAAGACAGTTTTCATATATGTGTGTAAGTCAACTTTGTAGATGTAGCTGCAGAAATTCAGTGACTTCTTGTATGTCTAAAGTAGATGCCATAATGTTGGTACTGAGGCCGTCCGCAGCGATAGTTAGTTCAGACACTGCGCGTATGAATGCAGTCTGTGCCGTGTGCTGTGCACTTGCTGATAGCTTGAGCTGACCCGAGGGCTTGGCCTCGTCCTGATGGATTATAAGTGTGAAAGTTCCTACCTTTCTGTGCTGTATTCAGCTCTGTTCCTTCTCCCGCTTTGTTGCTTTCAGCAGTTACTTTTTTTCACCTTGTCTCTGCCTGTCATCTTTCATTGTCGCTTTCACGAAATGAATAGCATTGACAGTGGGCTCAGTGCATATGGAAGTAAGTAAAGCAGGATCCTGATTCGTCACAATCGGACTCTTTTCATTTACCCAAGTTTTATGAAGTACCCACTGTGAGGGTACCGCTATCCTATTACACAGAATAGAGCAGTTAAAAAGACATCCCTCCCCTTCGTGTTTACTAAGTGTGTTTCCTTCTGGGCATGTCCGTGTAACGACTCCTTAGTTCTGGGGTGCCAGAGTCAGATAAAGAAAACAGAACGCTGCTTTCTGGCATTGGCTTTGGGCAGCTACAACAGCCAGAAAGGCAGAAGTTACATGGAGAAGAAGGTGCCCATCTAGCCACGGGAAGAGAGAGTACAAAACCTCCAGGACACCCCAGGAGTGCGAGCTGGAGGAACAGAGAATGCCCTTGAAGAGAGAGCCAGGGGCAAACAGTGCAGTGCTGGCTTTGAAGGGGACCTCCAGCTCCACTCCCGAAGGAGAGTTCAGAGCCAATGAATGATGTTTTGATTGTGTTTTTAAAGATCACATTATTGGTGCTTTGGGAGAGTAATTGAGAGGGAAGCACCAGAGTGGAAGCAAGGAGACCAGTGAGGCAGCTGGCGCAGTCATTCAAGTGGTGGTTGTGAATGGCTGGCAACAAGGAGTGGAGGTGCCAAGTGTTTTGAAGGAATGACTGGTTGTGTTTTCTGTACGTTGACTGTGGAGTTTTGAACTGTGCTTTTCTGCGCCTGTTTTCTCTCTCCCACTGTGGAGAGAAGGGGAGGTGGGCAGTTTCACGAGGAGGACCCTCGGACAATTGATGGATGCTTGTTTTCTCAAACAGTATCATCCTTCTCACTTCCCACATGCTCCCATGGCCTGCCCACTCACCTCTCAAGCTTGGAAGAGCTTGTATTCGAGTCCAGGGGATGCTGCCTGTCCTTTAGAAAGCTGCATTGCACCGGGTAGTAAGTAGGAAATTACAGGCAGTGTGGGTATTTCCCAAAATCTAGTGTCAGCTCTGCAAATCAGAAACAAAACAATGCTTAAATAGCGTATCTACATTGCTGAAATCCTAACACACACCCCAAAAACCTGTAAAATTTAAAAATCTGTTATCTGAAGATTTAAGAATCCATTATCACAGTTTAAAAATTCAACATGAATTTTGATGAGCTATATTATGTAAAGTAAGTTTTCTGATTTTGTTGCAAAATGTGTACACAGCCATAACATTCTTCCCTGTTTTCAATGGGAATGATGAACCGATGGAAGCCGTGGCAGCTAGCCCATCAGCCAGGCCACTCAGGGATACCGAGGTCCCAAGTCTTCACCTTTGCTCTGTCTCTTTCAGGGAGGTACCGGACACAGCTTCCGAGTGTGACTCCTTGAACTCTTCCATCGGAAGGAAGCAGTCTCCTCCGTTGAGCCTGGAGATATACCAGACCTTGTCCTCTCGGAAGGTCTCACGGGATGAAACCTCGCTGGAGGATTCCTCCCGTGGGGAGTCTCCGGTCACAGCCGACCTCTCCAGGGGCTCCCCTGATTGCACGGGGCTGACAGAAACCAAGAGTATGATCTTCAGCCCCGCCAGCAAGGTGTACAACGGCATCCTGGAGAAGTCGTGTAGCATGAACCAGCTCTCCAGCGGCGTCCCAGTGCCCAAGCCCCGCCACACGTCATGCTCCTCGGCGGGCAAGGACAGCAAAGCGGCCCTGGAGGCCCCCGCTGTGGCCCTGATGGGCAGCATCCCGCACGACCTCTGTCACAACGGAGAGAAGAGCAAAAAGCCATCCAAAATCAAAAGCCTTTTTAAGAAGAAGTCCAAGTGACCAGGCAGACGCTGGGCCTCGCTCCACGCAGCATCTGCACTTGTCCCGTGTCGTGTTCTCATTTGAGGAATGTAAACCATGGGGGCTCTCCGGACCCACCCCCGTGGACTGTCCCTAAGGGCAGCTGTCTACTCTCTGCTTATTTAAGTGACTAGATCATCGATTTGTCAAGGCAGTCATTATCAAAAAATCATGCAGGACAGTTTACAGTCATTTCTGCCTATTTATTTCTGCTTCGTTATTAGTGATGTAAATACAGTGTTTTGTTGAGAGCCACTATGGACTTCAGCTTTAAGGGACTGTGAGCCAGCATGGGCTTGCAGGAGTTCCTGTTTACCAGAGCATCTTCTTATCTTTCCACAGAGCTTATTTACATCTGGACTAAATAACTTAAAATAAGTAAAACTAATTGCACTACTGTTTTCCAGACTGGAAAAAAAAAAATCCCTGCAAGTGAAACTGCATAGAGTTTATAAAATGACTGTGGTAGGGGGCTGTTTTCACTTTTAGATCAAAATGAGTTTTTAAGTAGAACCTAGGGTTTCTAGATTGACTTGATTTCTGGAAATGAAAACCCATGCTTTTATTATGGGAAGCCTCTTTCAATGCATTTACTACTATAAAGTTTCAAGTTCTGCTATAAAGATCGTGTTGTTTTGTTTTCCCCCAGGGCTTTCACTGTGATTTACTGCATTGCAGGCTGTATGACAAAATATGAATAATTTAAAGAGAAAAGGCTCTTGCTTCCTTATGCAAGTCAAAGAGTTGGAACTTGATTGAAGGACTTAAAACATTCACAAGTTTAAACTGAGGTGGGGGTTGTGGGGAGCCGGGCACTTGTTTACAGACTTTGAAGAACTGCAAAGGATTTATGGCTTGTGAACAATTTGTACTGTGGAAAAGAGAATAAATTGGAGACGTTCTTGTGTGGGATTGTGCTGATTTTCGTTGATAACACTCCACTCACAACCCTGTATGTGTCCTGGAGGGCCGGGTAAGCTGTCGGATTGCTAAATTGCAATATAAGAAAACGGTGATGTTTTGGAAGTAAGTTGTCAACAAATTTCTTTCTATTTTATATTGTTTGTCATATTTTTATGTAGTTTGAACTGTTTAAATGTTCTAATATCAAGATTAACAAATATAAATTTATGGTGCATTTAGATTGTGTTGTTTTAATTTGTGTAGCTCTGGGTTCATTAAGCTGACAGGTTACAAGGGTAGCTTTTGCTGTGAAGATCAAGTCACGGGGAGCAGCAGAGAGGATTTTCATGTTAACACCTGGGGGAGTTTCTGCTCAAACCACTTCTGAACCTCTAGTCACAAAGACGCATGTGAATGACTTTTGGGTGAACAACAGACGTGTGCGTGTCAGCCAGCTCGGTTTTCCAGCCTGCACACATCTCCACTGCAGTGCCACCTGGGTCAGTGAACATCCTGTTAGCAAAAGGGTTTCTTTCAGATTGGCTTCAGAGAAACCCTGTAAGAATATGAGCAACTTCCTCAAGTCTCCTGTAAATTGTGATTGGTTTTTTTTCCTCCTGTTGAAAACTTAAGGTCCAGTGACGTTCATTTAGGTTGATAGTTTAGATTTAACACAGGTGGAATTGTTGGCTGATTTAAACACAGTGGTGTTTGGGGCTAATGAAAGGCAAAATTGAGAAACATAAGAAGGTGAAAACTCTTTGCAGAAAGAGTTGGAAAGTTTACAGTGAAGGAAAGCATTGTCACCCTTTTCGTTCCCGGAATGGAGAGATTTTTGCCTTGAAAATGCAAGGCAGAGGGGAACTTTGGGATCTGCTGGACACAGAAGGCAAAAGCCACTGGGCTGCAGGGTGAGGCTGGGAGGACCAGCAGTCCACAGCTGGGGCCAGCTGCCCAAGGCTGCAGCTCCCACCCGGCGGCCCACCCAGCAGTGGGGAGATGCCCTTGGGCCACTGTGGATTTCAAGTCAGGGAGTCGTCACTGCCTTAACATACTTGTGTATGACTTTCTTGAGCACATGCTTTATATTTGTAATTTCACAGGAAATAATTGGGCTTTGGAAAGCGACACTAGTTTCTGTATTTTATGAAATTTATATGTGAATAGTTGGGCATTTTTTATAAATTTTTTAAATTACCCATTTGTTATTTTAACTTCATGGTGTATTCTTGGTCTTAAAAGGAATATCTATCTTACTGTTACTAAGAGATTAATGACAGAGATTTTAAGAAAACAAGCAGGTCACAATCTGCTATTCAAAATAACTTTTGGTAACTTTTCATAATTTCATAATTTGGTATTTTTGTGCTAGATCTTTTTCTACATATTGGTGTATATTTTACATACCTAAAATCTTCTATCTTGAAATTTATATTATGCTCGTTCATTTAGTCCAAGCATTTCTCCAACTTCATTAAAGATTTCATGAGCACCATTCTAATGACTGTATAATAATATCATTGTGTGAGCTTTAAACCATTCTGTCATTAAACATCAGGCTGTTTACAAATCTCGGATATGTGGAGTAATGGCATTTCACACCCAGTGAGCACTCTATTCCAGACACTGTTTTAAACTTTACTAAATATTCTCATTTCGTCTTTACACCAGCACTGTAAGGTAGGCACTAATGCTTTCTTTTTTTATTTATCTTTTTACTAATGAGTCAACAACCCAGAAAGTAATGTGCCCAAGGTCACAGAGCTGAGTGGAAAGCATGTTCTCAATGAGTGCATGCATTCTGACCAGCATTTTGATTTCTTAATATATATATTATTAGACATTTATAAGAACTATAGTTTACATTTTTCTATGTGTGTGTGTGTTTGTCAAACATGGTCTCACCTGCATATCCTGGGTATAACAATTTCTGAGGGTTTTTTTTTTTATCCGTATAAATTTCTTTACTGTCCAATACTTAAGTGTATCAGTGTTTTTTTACTACTTATTACCATTTCTGAAGTGCAATTTTGCTAAGACGTAAATAACAGTCAGAAAGGTTGGAAAATTTTTCATGTTTTGTTAGCCTTGTATGTTTCACTTCAGTAATTGGCCTTTTTTTTTGTGCTCATTGAGTTCAAATGTAATAACTACATTTGAAACACTGTGCAAAAGATTAAGTGCATTCCTTTTTGTTTTGATTTTTCTTTAAGATTGTTTATATGAAAAAGAGAGAGAAATGTTCCAGTTGTTGGCTTTATTGCCCAAATGCCTACAGCAGCCAGGGTTGGGCCAGGCAAAGGCAGGAGCCACAAACTTGATCTTGGTCACATGAATAGCAGTAGGGCCCACCCCCTTGAGCCAACATCTGCTGCTCCTTGAGACACATTAGCTGGAAGGCAGGTGGAAAGTAGGCACTCCAGGGAAAGATGCCAGTTTCACAAGTGACATTGCCGCCATGTTGACCCCTGGATATGTATGCTTCACACTTAAAGGTACAGGTGATGAAAAAGAGCTCTTAGCTTTCAGTTTCAGACTTACTGATCTCCTGTTTTGAGGTCTTAAATGGCTGAGTGTCACCCCCTACCTTCCATTCCCCCCAACCCCCGCTTGAGCTCCAAGGAGTAAAGACTAATAGGACAAGAGCCTATTTTTAAAGGAACCAGGCCCCGAATCCTTCTGTTGAGCTATAGAAATGTCAACCATAAAGAAGAATTATATAGTTCAAAATACGTACCAAAGATAAATCAAATTAATGCTGTTTTGTCCAGGGTGAACAGTTTGATCGTGGTGAACATGTGTAGGACAAAGAACAAGTTAGCTTTTGACCTACCAACCAGTAGTCTAGTTCCTTCAAATGAGCTTGCAAGTACTGGGTTCCAGCAACACTTGATAGGGGGCTATTAGGGTGTAGACCATGAGGTAAGTTGTTAGCCAAAAAAAAACAATGCATTTGAGTCATCGTAGATAGTCCCTGATAGTATTGTCAAGAATGTTTTGTTAAAGATTTATTCCTGTATTTGAAAAGGTGAGTTACAGAGAATGAAATCTTCACCTGCTGGTTCACTCCCTAAATGTGCAAAACAGCCAGGGTTGGGCCAGGCTGAAGTCACAAATCTGGTCTGTCACAAGGGTGCAGGGGCTCATAGACTTGGGCCATCCTCTGTCACTCTCCCAGGCAGGAAAGCAGGGAGCTGGGTAGAAAGTGGAGCAGCTGGGACTCGAACCAACTCCAAAGAGGATTCCATTAACACTGGCCCCTGATGAAGGAACTCTGCTGCCCATGTCTCTGGCCCTTAGGTGTCCTGAAGATTGATCGAGGGGGTGCTGAGCCTCTCGTGACTCATGTGGGCATCGGGCCCAACTGGAAAATGTCACCCCAGTGCCAGCATTGAGCTCCAGTTGACTGAGTCCCAGAAGTGGCTCTCAGGAAGTCCTTCTGCAGGTGCTCATTGGATGCACAGATAGGACATTGCTGACTGGCCTCGACGCAGAGCTTGGGTTCCTAGCAGTGTGATGGGACAAAACACCCCACATCCTATCATAAGATGTCTGATAATCCAATTGCTCAGCCTTTACCAAACCTATCACAATGTCACAAACTTCCAACTCAAGGAGCAACAGGCAGAAGGTAAGGCAGCTGCTCAGTGCACCCAGGGAGAAGGGCTCTGCAGGTGTGCCCCCAGGGTCACATAGGCTATACTGTCCAAGTCTGTGCACCTGCCGCCCATGTTTTCCATGAGATGCTCTTGCAGACTCTGATTCCTGAACAGGACTCTGAGACGTCTCCCCTGGATCCAAGGAGCTCTTCCTCTGTTGCTGGAGGCTGCCTCATTTTAGTATCAGATATTTTGTCATGTGGCAGCCCTCTAGTATTGCAGTTTTCACAAGACTATCCTGTGTTTATTCCTTAAACAATACCTCTTTAAAATTCCAAGTTTTCTTTATTTGAAAGAGACAGCTTCCACCTACTGGTTCACTGCATAAATGTCTGCAATAGCCAAATATGGACCAGGCTGAAACCAGGGCCCAGGAACTCCATCCAGGTCTATGTGTGTCACCCAAACTCCCCTTCGCTCTGCATCAAAAATGTGGGTGATCCAGGACTTGTGCCAGGCACTCTAAAGTAGGATGTGAGCTTTTCACGTGGTGGCTGACCAACTGCAGCAATCACCACACTTTTAACTAGAGTCTTAGTTTTAAATATTCACCTGGTGGGGGATGGTACAGAAGCTCAACAGGCTAACCCTCCACCTGCAAGCCATATGAGCACCAGCTTATGGCCTGAGAAAGCAATGGAGGATGACTCCAGGCCTTGGGCTCTTGCACCTACATGGGAGATACAAAAGAAGCTCCTGGCTCCTGACTTTGGATTGGCCCAGCTTTGGCTGTTGCAGCCATTTGGGGAGTGAATCAGTGGATAGAAGCCTTCTCTATCTCACTCTATAAATTTTCCTTTCAAATAAAAGTAAATAAATTTTAAAAATCTACGTAGGTTAAATTTGCCATTATGAGAATGCCAGCTGCTGACAGCCTCTTACAGGCCTGTGACCCATGAACTATGGTGGCCTCATTCTGGAAAGAGTAAAGGTAAATAGCCCTTAGGGACTTGAAAAGCTTTCCAGAAAAAGAATGCTTTTGTAAAAAAAATAATTTTTGTTCATGAAAAACGCTATTAACATTCAAGATGTGCAACTGTTGGCAGAAACTATGTATTGGCAAGAAACGGAAAGGAAGAGCTGCTAGGGGGTGTAAAATAAAGGCTAGGTGTGAACTACTGTTCACAGAAGTTGCCTTTGACCTTTAAAAGTGAGAAAATGAACCTGGAAATAAGACTTGGCATGGGAAGTTCAGTAAGGGCAAAAAGAGGAGGGGAGGAAAGGGTACATTTAGCATCAAATCACCAAATCTTGTCCCTCTAATCCCTGAATATCAAATGCCCATTGTCTGAATATATTACACTTGATGCTGCTCTTTCATTTTATGAGCTTCAAAAAGCTATCTGAACCCAACCTTTCTCCCTTTCATCCTTCAGTGGTGAACTTCCTATGAAACAATCGATTCTTGCAATGAGACTTTTCTATGGCTTCTATTGCCGGTAAGATGAAATAAGCAGAGGCTAAAGGAGCCGATGCTCTGGGTTTTGCTTGTTTTTCCGTTGGCCGTTTATGGTTCTCACATCACTTCCTGTGGCTTGAGAACGAGCCAGGCTGCCTTGCATCCACATCCCTGACTGCTCTCACTGGTCTTCTGGCCTGGGAAGTCTTCTCCCAACTTGGGTCATCAGCTCCAAGTCTACAGCTGAGCTCAAATATCTCTAGGCAGTCTCCCTTGCATGCCCCAGTCTGGATCACTTCTGTGAAATGCCCACAGTTTGCAGTGCTTATCACAACTGTCACCTGTCACAGTGATCTGTTTGGTTGTTTATTTATTTATTTTGCTCAATAGACTGAGCTGCATAAGGGCATGGGGTGTGCACCTTGCTTTACATAGATTTCGGACTTCCAAGAGCCGAGACTTTTGGGTACTCCATGCATTGTGTGCTGGAAAAATGAGTAAGCGAATAGATGCTATGCTGCCTTCCCATCCCAGGTTAAGAGCCTCCAAAAATGTCTTGATTAGAAAATAAGATTGGGCCCGGCGCGGTGGCGCAGTGGTTGAAAGTCCTCGCCTTGCACGCCCGGGATCCCATATGGGTGCCGGTTCTATCCCGGCAGCCCCTCTTCCCTTCCAGCTCCCACCTGTGGCCCGGGAAAGCAGTCGAGGACGGCCCAAGACTTTGGGACCCTGCACCCGCGTGGGAGACCCAGAAGAGGCTCCTGGCTTCGGATCGGCATAGCACTGGCCGTTGCGCTCACTTGGGGAGTGAATCATCGGACGGAAGATCTTCCTCTCTGTCTCTCCTCTCTGTATATCCGCCTTTCCAATAAAAAATAATAAAAATAAATCTTTTAAAAAAAGTAAGATTACTATCCAACACAGGTGAGCCTGTATTTTTCTTGTCTCACAGAGGAATGGAGCCAAGGAAGAGATCAAGGTGCATGGTGTGCCTAGGAGGTTGTCTTGGAGTAGCATTTTTAGAGGAGTACTCTGAATGATGAGGAATGTCGGAATATGCCTTAAAGGAATAGTATTTGTTCAGTAGAGTGAGTCACCCCCTCAGGCCTCATTGTGCCTCCTTTCCTGAGTTCTGCATTTACCGGCTATACCACACATCTTGAATTTAGAGTGGTTTCTTTTGTGATTCAATGCTGTTCTTTCAAGATTCATGTAGTACAAATCTGCTGGACAAGGAAACCAGTCAGGTCATAATACTTAACCTCCCATGCCAGATACTAGGGCTAGGAACAGCACGTTCACAGGGCTGTAAGATTTTTTTTTTTTTTTTTTATGGATGTCATGTTTATCTTGAAGATCCAGAAGGGCTTTGCTGAGGGAGGGATGCCAAAAATTAACTCTGCAAATGAACAGCAGCACACAAGGAGAACAAAGGTCTGAGTCACCCAGGTACTGATAATCTAAAGACTTCAGAAAGGAAAACACCTGCTTCAGATCCAGCTTCCTGC